GAGGCCACCAGGGTCTGGCATGAGAGCGGGCAAGCTGTCGCGGGACATCTTGTACAACATGGGCATCACGGATGGCGCGGTATGTGATGTTGGGTGTGTGTGCTGTTTCCGTCATTTCCGGAGTCTACCGTTGGAAGGGACGCCGTTGTCGGTTCGGTCATATGTTCTGGGTTTGGTTTGCAGACCTCCAGTCTTGACCAAGCCCAAAATATGGCTAATTTCGCGCTTTTAAAACAAACCACGATCGAGAGCATACTGTTGGGGTCTTGGCACTCTGTATGTTTATTGTCGTAGCTTTCAGCTTTGTCTCATCGCGTTTCACGTTTCTGCCGAGATGCACCTCAGAGAGCTTTTCACATACCCGCGTTTCTGAGGCCTATGGTTCACTCTCCGCCCAACCCGCCATTTTTCATGCAGTGCAAGATCATCGGAAGGCGCAACAAGTACTCCATGATCTACGCCATGTTCGACGCCCTCGCCAAGCACCGTGGAATCGAGAGCATAGCGAGGGGGCGGGGCAAGCGCATCTTGTCTCTCCAGCGAGAAATGGCAGGGCGGTTTGCCTGAGTAGACGTGACCATAACGTGCCCTTGGCGAATCGTATCTGTTTTGTTCCGATGTGTTGAGTCAGCAGAGACCGGCTTGTGAAGGTTGATTTGCTATGTAGGGGCGTAAAGTACTGCGAGTGTTGGAGGCGTCATCAACGACAAGAGCAACGTTCGAAAGTCGCTGAAGTGGAAGCATGATGCACACCGTCAAGTTCTGGTGCATTTGTTTTCGTCATGTCAGCGTGAGCAGAGTGAGCGAAGCAGCAATCAACAGGACTCATTTGAGCCTTGGGTAGTTAGTGCCTTTGGGACCGTTATATTTGATTGCATTCATGTGTCCTCTCCCGCCGTGACCGAGCGTGGTTGGAACCACCCAATACGCTGCCCGTCACTACAAAGCATACATGTACAAGACTTTTGGGCAGCTTACGCTGAGAGAAGCGTTCCGCAAGAAGCTTGTTATCGGCGTTGTTGTATGGCCGTCTTGTTGGTCTACTTGTCCTTGCTCTTGCTTACGTACGGTAGTCTGTTGCGACACCGAAGGGGTGCGAAGGGATGCGTTCGCATGGGGTCGACGAACTGGACACGCGCACACTTCTTGGCGTGTATAACGGGTTGTTGGTGGGCAGGCGAACGTTATTGTGAAAATGGGTTGATATGTTGTGTGTAGTTGAATTTCGAAGTTTCATGTACCGACACAAAGAGGGTGCCGAAAAGCGCGGATCGGATGCTCGAAACGTGCCCGGAGTACCACTGCTGTACCCCGACCGACTCCTACAAAAAAAATAGCTTTCACCTCGCAGAAAAGTGTTCACGACAAAGCTCGGACAAACGACATGTACTTACTCGTTCGAGTAGTTTCACCAGACATCGGCAAGTTGCAGCGGGAAAACAAAGTGGAATCAATTTGGAGAGAGATGTTTGATGGGCCGTTGAAAGAAAATATACCACACATGCATACATTCCCGAAGGCGTATCATCACCCATCCATCCATTACATTTCGTGTCACATAAACGACCACAACCAACCGACGCCGTGTGTGTGTGACACACACGGCGTCGGTTGGTCGAACTGGGAGGCGTCTGGATCTGCACCTGACTAGTTTCGTATGGGATCATGTATCCCAGAACCTGAGGCCTGGAAGCGAGAAAAGATATGATCCCAAACTAGTCAGGCGCAGATCCCGACGCCTTTGAGTTCCAACCAACCGAACCCGACGCCTGTAGGCGAGGAAGACATGATCCCAAACAAGTCAGGCGCAGATCCCGACGCCTTCCAATTCCAACCAACCGACACCGCGCGTGTCGACACGCACGGCGTCGGTTGGTTGGAACTGGAAGGCATCGGGATCTGCGCCTGGCTAGTTTCGTATGGGATCATGTATCCCAGAACCTGAGGACACACACGGCGTCGGTTGGTTGAAACTGGAAGGCGTCGGGACCTGCGCCTGACTAGTTTCGTATGGCATCATGTATCCCAGAACCTGAGGCCTGGAGGCGAGGAAGACATGATCCCAAACGAAACTATGTAGTCAGGCGTCAGGACCTGCGCTTCACTAGTTTCGTATGGAATCATGTATCCCAGAAGCTGAGGCCTGGAGGCCAGGAAGAACCCACGGAGTGCTTCAAGTGTCACCGGAACGAAGCCAATGGTGCACGTAACGAACTCTATGGAATCGAACCCCGGCTCCACGCCTCGTCGTGCACCTTGCTGAAGGATTCCACGTCTGCCACAAGCAAGGCTACAGGCTGCCCACCTCAAAGACGTGAAGGACGAAGTAAATGGAAAAACGGAACGTCTAGCCCGGTCACGTGCTTGGCACCTCGGGACAGACAACTATTGATCAAGGTAACATCGCCGACCCGATGACCAGCTTCCGTGAACGTGGTCCCGGTCCACACGCCCGGAAAATGTCTGTCAAGCGGTACACGGTTCCTGACTTCATGCTGTGTGCCCCAATGTGTCGCTGGGATACGACCCATGTAGACCCCGCCGGAGACGTGCCTCGGCCTGTGGGCGCACGGAAAGGACAAGGAAAACGGCCGCCGCTGCCGCAATCAAATATCATGGTATGAAACATGTACAGTATTCACAACTACCCGCCCGTTGGCTGTGACAGCAACAACGGACCTGACCGCGGATGTCATGGAACCCCCGCCACACACACAGGGAGAAGCTCAAGATCAAAACAACGTTAATGTCTCCTCTCCCTCGGCCCCAACGACATCGAAAGCTGTGAATCAAGCACCTAGAACAGCACAACTCTCCGAGACAGGCCGCCCTGTCGTTGGCTCATAACCTCAGTTGAGCTGCTTTTCTTGCTTGTGTCCTTGGCATCTCCCTCCATGCACTTCCCTGCCGACTTGACACTCGCTGTCACCTGCAGGGCACACACAAGAAATCCCAGAGGGTTAGCAGCAGTTGAATCAGCGTGATAAGAAGGGGGGAGTGGCTCCAACGAAACCACGTCCTAATCTATTGGCAGGGGTTGGGAGTCGAAAGCGATGAGATTTCCTCGGCACGAAGAGGGGAGCTTGGACATACACACAAGAGCCAAAGCACCCAGCAGTATACGCGTTGTCCCCGCGTCATCACGTGTATCGATTTATGGCACCGCAACAAGCAGTGAGTGCCTGGCGTCTGCTATAACATTGTGCCTGTTGCGTCCACCGTCGACGCCAGAGACTCCTAATTAACCACGCTACCAGAGCAGAGGGTCACACAGGACGAGGTTTGTCTGCGGCCTTCGCTTTCCTCCTGAGATGCATGCCTTTCCTTCAGAAATTTGTTGGCGAAACTGTTTCCAACGCTAGTTTTTGTCTCC